TTGTAATGAACCTTTTTTATATATAGTGAACCTTTTTTAATGTACAGTGAACTTGTTTTACTGTACAGTGAACATTTTTTAATATACACACTGAACAAATTTCTAATATGCAATGGAAATGTTTTATATATAGTGAACTTTTTTCCAATGTACGATGAACTTTTTTATAGTATAGGGTGATATGTTTTCTAATACACACTGAAGATTTTTAAATTGCACACTTGAACATTTGTACCGGAAAAAGATGAATAAAGAAAAATGGAAAACCCGTAAAAACCAGAAAACCATGGAAAAACACATAGAAGAAATGTTGGTGAATTTGCATAGATGTTTGTGAACAATAGATGTTCAAGAATTGGAAAAATGTAAAATAACAGAGAAATCAGAAGAAAAAAAGGAAGAAAAAAAGAAACGAAACAAAAGAAGAAAAAGAAAATAAAAAACGACCAGAAAACCAACCCAGAAAAAAAATCGTATGAAACCGACCAGAAAACTGCTTATCTGGGCCTCAGTTACGTCTGACTCGCGTGCGCGATCGCCTAATATGTATCGCCTCCGACCCTTTTCTGTTACATTGTGGACAGCTCCTATATCTGGTGGCTCGCCGCCGGCCGGTTGCCTCACGTTCCGGCCGGCCGGCGAGGTTAGCCCGACGCGATGCCAGTGCGTTCCGGGACAGGAACGCCTCGGGGGCGGGCTGCAGGAGCAGCCACACGCTGCAGCAGGAGCAGCAGGGCGCCGCAGGAGAACCTCCCCCCCGCCCCCGGCGAAGCTCCGGGCGGCTATGGGGAAGCGCTGCGGCCAGGTCCTGACTGCAGAAGGACATTTCCGAGGTCGACGATGGCTCTGGCCTTCTGAGGCTGCGAGCGAATGGTGCTGTTCCTACATGTGTTGTTCTCGTTTTCAGTTAGTGCATATGCAAATTGGACTCTCAGTTGTTCTGTTTTGTTTTGTTATTTACAGGAGAGCGGGAATCCTGAGAAGGCGAATGTGACGGTGGCTGAGCAGGTGGATGAGTATGTAGATATTGAGGATGAGACCGCTGACTTACCAATCAGTGGAGGCCGAGAACGTGCTGAGGATACCAGTGTCTCTGGTGGTTCTTCATGCTCTGTGATACTGTCGAAGCGGCTGTTTCTTCTTATCCTTTTTGAGAAACACCGTTTATTCTTCATCCAGTGGTACTGTCGAACTCACTATATATTCTTCCCCTTTTCCAGAAACATCGTTTATTCTCCATGAATTAAACTTCCTACAATGCGTCCCAATTGACTTTGTTTACAGGTTCAGGGTCAGGGAGCTCAGGGGACAGAACCTCAGAAGCTGGCAATGCTCCTTCTCTGGTGTAGAGGAGGTTGTTCTAACAGTAGGATTTGAGTAGGTGGAGGATGTAAGTACTTATTTCTGGGATGTCCATGTCTTTTCATCTGGCCTTCTATCTGAATGTGGCTTTTGTATTGATGTGTTTTCTCTAGCACATCTGTTGTGTACTTAAAGCTTATGGGCGACATAACTATCGCATCAGAGTAAGAAAATGTTGAAATCATGGTTTTCATCTTTGTCTGGTGACTTATATTGATATGAGAATGGTTTAATCTTTCTCAGAGGTATATAAACGATAAAAATTTCAGTAGTCATGCAAACCTGTGTTGACTGGGACTCTTTTGTCCTGGTGACGCTGCTCGCCTTTTCTGAAATTATACCCCTTGATTTCAGTTAGAGTATGTATTATTTTTACTGGCTTGTGATTACTGGGTAAGAGAACTTCCTGTTGCTGTAAGCTTTTCCCAACATCTAACTGGAGTGCCACTAAAATGTGTTTGGTGTGCTGGTGCAAATTTCTTAGTTTATTTTACAATCAAATATTTCTGAGTACAGGTCGCAGTTTTATATTTTTAACCGGCAATCAGCATCGAAACTACAGGTCGCAGTTTCGTGTATACAAATTTAAGCACACATCAGGTGTCTGCTGGCAAGTGGCAAGTCCATCCTGATATCTGAAAGTGCAAATCTGCGACATGCTTGTCTGCTCTGTTCAAGGCACTGGAGCATACTGAAAATTCTCCCCGTAAAAAAGAAGGAAATGAAAAATCGTCCTTTTCAGTTGTCAAGACGACAGAAATAACAAACAACAAAACATACCCATTTATCGGCTACGAGATATATGTTGAGCAGCTTGAATGCTTACTGAAACGCTCATTCTGGAAAGAGCACGCTGCACATTTATGAAGGTATGTCGACTCTAAATATAACATGATATATGACACAACTTTAACTCAAGAGCATCCAAGCCGTACACTTTGTGCATGCGGACGGAAACATGTCCATAACAATTCATTCGCGTTATTAATTCACATATTGAAAATCAACTAATAATTACTTTTAGCTTGCCTTCACATGTTGCTAGCCGCCTGCATTCGCATTCATCTTCTAGCTTCTTGCTGCAAAATTTGATTTCCAGTTCTTCCAGCGAATGTGGGAGGCCTGCTTCCGGCAGCCTTGATATGCGTTCACACCCTTTTATCTCCAATCTCTTGAGAGAAGGAAGGGTGTGCAGCCCAGCAGGAAGATCTACGAGATCATTACACCAATAGAATCGGAGCTCTTTCAGTGACTTGATGAGCACAAGCGCTTGCTCTTGCTCATCTGTTAATCTCGTCACTTCCAAGGAATCAAGTTGTAGTCTTTGCAGGGATGTGAGGTGCTTGCAGAATGACGTGGTAAGGACAGATGGGTCATCGATGCGAAGCCTTTCCAGCCGAGGGCACGGCGTTGAAATGCTGTCCAAACATGGTGGCAAGCCAGGACAGTCTGATACATTCAAACGCCCGAGGCTGCCAGGGGGTTGCATGCCCTCTAGTACAGTGACGGTGACCGATCCACAACCGGAAATTGCCAATTTTTCCAGTGCCGTGCATGAGTGCAGCTGTAGAGATGGCAAGCCTTGGCTGGAACGTACACTTAACTTTTTAAGGCTGGTGATACCTCTAGGAAAGCAGGGTTGCAGTGCTTCTTGGCGATGTAACGACCCAATGTCAAGTTCCTGAAGTGATGTCGGGAGGAGCCATCTTCCGTTCGCCCGGTCATTACTTTCGTCATTATGCACAAACGGCAAGTCTCCCCAAATTCCAAGCTTCTCAAGCGAGGTAAATCCAGAGAAGCAGTCCTTGGCCCAGTTAAATTTTAGACGAGGGCACTGACTAATACTCATATCCTTGAGAGAGGAGGCGAGATTTGATGGAATGTGCAAGAGTCCGTCACGAAGAGTATGTTAGAGTAAACCACGTTACGAGTGTGTGTGCGTGTAGTTAGAAGCTAGCATGCACAGAGTTTGTTAGTGGACGTGCATGCGCAGGTTAGTCACAGGCGTTGATCGCGGGAGCGTTGGGCGTGATCCAGCGGCAAGCTCGGACGATGTGCGGCTCTTGCGGAAGGGTAGATGGCTCACGACGAGAGGAGGCCGGGTCTTGAGGTGCTCATGCGTACGTGCGCATGAGGGGCTGTTGGAGTCAGTTGCTTAGCGAGTCGGGTATAAAAGAAGCCCCTGTGTACTGCTTGTGGTGAGCCGGTGTTGCAGCGATGTAGCCACTGAAAAGATAAAGAAGATTAGGGCGTGTGTGTGCCTACGGCGGTGTTCGTGCGCCGGCCCGGAATTTCTTGTGTCTTGTGTCTTCTTCTACCTCTAGCCGAGAGTGAGAGAAGGCTGCGGTTCCAACATTTGGTATCATGAGCTTGGTGTCTTGGGCGTGCTTGCCGTGCCGGAGGCGTGGCAGCGATGGCGGCGCTCGCCGGCGGCTGCGCGTTGGAGCTCCGGGTCGTGCGTCGGCCTATGGAGGTGGGCGGCGTTGTGGCTGCCATGGCGTGCGGCGGAGGCGGCGGGCGGTGACGTCGTACGTGCGGCGACCGCGGAGGCCGCCGAGGCGCTGGGTGGTGGCGCGGCGGCGCATCACGACATGGCGGCATGGAGGCCGCGGCGGTGCAGGGCAATAAGACGCGGCGGCGAGTCGGGCGCGACCGGTGCATGTTATGGGTGCGCATTGGACGCGTCGGGCGCGTCGGGACCGCGGGAGTGGACCGCGTCGAGGCGCTGGACCTGGTTGCGCAGATCGCGTACGTGCGCGGCGGGAGCGCGGGCCGGGAGCGCGGGGACGTGGGGAGTGCGCGCGAAGGGCACGGCGGTCGCGGAGACGAGGAGGTCGCGAAGGACCTACGTGGTGGCGCAGAGGTCGCGACGGCTCGGGGTGACAACCGTGAAAGGTGCGTGACACGTAGGTGCGGCGTGGCGGCTGCCATGGCGGACGCGGAGGCGGCACGCGGTGAGCGTCTGGTGCTGTCGGGCTCGTCGGATGCGCGCGGGACGTGCGGGACACACTGGTGCGGTCGGGCTCGTTGGGCGCGTCGGGTGCGCGCGGGACGCCAGGCGTGTGTCGCCGGCGGAGAAGGAGCTCGGCGTGTGTCGCCGGGGTCGTGACGGAGAACGGTGCGCTAGGTCGGGTCCACGGGCTGGGTCACGGCCGTGACGACGACAACGACGCAAGCTGCAACAACTCCGGCGACGGCGAGATAGTGGTTTATGGGGAGTATGTTAGAGTAAACCACGTTACGAGTGTGTGTGTAGTTAGAGGCTAGCATGCACAGAGTTTGTTAGTGGACGTGCATGCACAGGTTAGTCACAGGCGTTGATCGCGGGAGCGTTGGGCGTGATCCAACGGCAAGCTCGGACGATGTGCGGCTCTTGCGGAAGTGCGGAAGGGTAGATGGCTCACGACGAGAGGAGGCCGGGTCTTGAGGAGCTCATGCGTACGTGCGCATGAGGGGCTGTTGGAGTCAGTTGCTTAGCGAGTCGGGTATAAAAGAAGCCCCTGTGTACTGCTTGTGGTGAGCTGGTGTTGCAGCGATGTTGCCACTGAAAAGATAAAGAAGATTAGAGCGTGTGTGCGCCCACGGCGGTGTTCGTGCGCCGGTGCGGAATTTCTTGTGTCTTGTGTCTTCTTCTACCTCTAGCCGAGAGTGAGAGAGGGCTGCGGTTCCAACAGAACTAACCAGGTCAACGCCTCATCTTGATTTCCTGATGACACTACTGTTTTTCCTGATGATAGTACTGTTGTTAATAGACTGTTTTCTTCCTCTTCCATTGGTAACAGTACTGTTGTTATATGTGCGCATCTTCTTAAACTCAATTCCTCTAAGCCCAGAGCATGTTGCCGCATCAGCGCTAGCCACTTCCCCGCTATTCCACATAACCAAATACTGAGGCTTTTAAGAGATGGGAAAGCATTGCAGTTCACAGCTGTCACGTCTTCAGGGGTATACTCTGGCGTCACATCTAAAGAGAAAAGTTGCTCACAGTTTCCAATTTCCAAACGTGTTAAAGAGACAAGATGACTAAAACCTTCGAACGAAAAAGACCTTAGATTTCTGCAACCATATATGTCCATCAATTTCAGGTCTCTAAGATTGTGGAACGCCAAAATTTTGTCATCCAGTATCCTCAAATCATACTTGCCAATATTCCTAATTTCTAACTTTTCACCAGATGATACCTCGATATGCGGAAACCTTGGAAGTTCTTTGATGAGTACCTTAGACAAGGTAGTTGAAGGTGGAAGAGGCTTCAACACTTTCAAATGAGGGCAACAATCCAGAATCAAAATTCTAAGACCAGGCAGCCATGATCCCTGAATGATTTCAGAATTATCATCTTCCTCAAACAGATCAAACTCCTTCAATGCTTCACAATGCTCGATTTGCAGTGCTCGTAAGCTAGAGTTCAGAGCCCCCACAAACGTGCTTGAGCATCTCACTAACTTAGGCATGTCGATCAAAACTAGCTCCTCCAGTGAAGGAACCAATATTTCTGTTACTTCCCGCATGCTGCTCAACTTCAGCTTTGTAAGAAATGGAAGACTTCCTAGAGATGGAAGTATTCTCCATCCTCCACAATCATCAAGACGAAGCCTCTGCAATGAGGTAACTGAGATATTATTGGCAAGCCAAGTTGGTGAAGTGGTACCATTATACCTGGATATATGTAGCTGCTTTAAGTTCATGTGAGGTTCAAGTCCCTCGAGCACCTCTCTTGCTGTATCCAAAGAAGGCTCGTCACTTTGGTCACCATCACCCATTGGCAAGAGCTCCACGTTTGCTTCTACTCTATCCAAAGCAGGCTCAGAACATGAGCCAATATCATCCATTGGTGAGAGCTCCTCGTTTTTGTCATATTCCTCGGGTGACAAGGTATCCTTCCAGGACAAGCGCAGATCTTTCAAGTATTCTTTGCTTCTTAGTCCTGCTCCATAAGCCTCTTCCCGAGTTTTAACAGTATCAAGTCGAGACACCCCAAGTCGTACAAGCCCGTTCATGGATTGGAGTTGTGATATCTCAAAACCGCTAGAACCAAACTGAACCTTAAAATCATGTAGCTCCTGGAGAGATGTCATGCCACCAATGTTAGCAATGGAATAGTATACTCTGTTTTCTGGAACTAGATGCCGCAGGCTAACTAGATTATTAATACCATCAGGTGTAGGATCAATGTATGAGGCAACATCTAATATTTGAAGATGGTACAACTTGCTCAAAAGTTGAGGGAAAGCCCCATCCACCTCATCAGGTTCACGTTTTAGATATCGAAGGTGTGCAGGATTTACTAAACTACACACGAGGGAATTAAAATCAGCACATGTTGCAGACATTTGCAGCAGACGCAAGTTCTGGTCCTTTTGGAATATATCAAGGAACAATTTGAAGAAGAAAGAGTCGTAGTGCCCAAATAAAACTAATGTCCTCAATTTCCTCACTGATGCAATTGTATTTCTCAGCTTCTCTTCAAACTTGATATTGCGAGGTATGGTTCCATGCTGATCTTTGCGATATGCAGAATTGGTCACAATTGACAAGTGACGTATAGTTGGTAACATATTATTAAGCTGTAGACCATCCATGGTTGCACACTCAGTCCTTGAAACCATCCTTGCAAAATCGTGCATGATACCAGACATAGAATACCAATTTTTACTGCCTAAAAAAGATTCCTCTTCCTCTTCCTCTTCCCCTTCCTCATCCTCGTCCTCTTCCTCTTCCTCTTCCCCTTCCTCATCCTCGTCCTCTTCCTCTTCAAGATGCTGAAAGAATCCCAGGTTCACCAAATCATTTAGACATTCCCATCCTATCTCCTCTAATCTCTTACTTGAATGGGTCTGATTCAAAAATCCCTGAGAAATCCAAATATAGACCAGATCCTTCCCTAGAAACCTATATTTTTCAGGAAATATAGAACAATACGAGAAACATTGTTGTAAACGGTACGGTAGCTCATCATAGCTAAGCTTCAAAGCAGGCATGATGCCCCCACGGAGTCCCAACGATTTCCACTTCTCTTCCTTGAGAATGTTACTCCAATGATCAACGCTAAGATGATCTCTTAACAGTGTCCCTGCAGTTACTGCTGCTAACGGGTTGCCCTTTAACTTCTCTGCTATTTGCATTCCAATACTACTTAGATTTCCCAGACCTTTAAAGTCCCCAAAACCAAATGCACATGACTTGAGCAATAACCACATTCCATCATTTTCTAAAGCACCTAACTTGATCGGTTCAAGTGTTCTTAACCTTTGTGCAACAGACAAATTTCTGGTTGTGACTAGAATTATATGACCCTTCGCTTTACTTGATATCAAAGGGTACAAGAATTTGTTCCATTTATGATAATCCATATTTTCCGAGACATCATCTAAAACAAGCAGAAAACTCTTTGATTGGTACTCGATATGTTCTTTCAAGATCTCTTGAAGCTTCGCAAAATTGCTAATTCCTTCATACCTTTCTCGAGGAAAAAAGTCTAACATCTCCTTTGTGAGCTTCACTTCATCAAATTTGCGGGACACACAAACCCATATCCTGTGGTGAAATTGACTTTTCACGTCTGGATCATTGTACACAAATTGAGCGAGAGTTGTCTTTCCAACACCTGCAATGCCTACAATAGGCAGAACATTTACACCACCAGATTGGTTTTCAGTTATTGACTTTTTGATCTTGTTCTTTTCTGCAACTCTGCCATAAACTTCCATCGGAACAAGACTTGATGTTGTTGGGTGCTGATCTGATGCTGTACTCAAGCGGTGATGATTTGAACTTGAAGTAGCGCTGGATCCATATGGCTCGAGAACTTTACTCAAAGCCCCCTGGATGTCCTGTAACTGTAACTTCCCAGTAATTTTAATTATCCTATTGGATAACTCAGCCTTGTCCCATTGGGCGTGTATGTTAGCTGCGGTGGTCTGCGTTGGATCCTCATTTGTTCTCTTTCTTTTTCCGTTGGACGAACTACCAACTTCAACCGACCTCACATTACAAGTAGCATCGCCGGTGCTGCAGTAAGAAAAGGATGGTGGGTTGGTTATCAGAAGAAATTCAGAACAACAATGGGCTCTCAAGCAGACGTATATAAACAATTACAACAAATTCGTTGAAGCAAGGTATAAATTCCTGCTGGTACCTTGAAGTGTTTGGGCCCCCGCTGCAGGTTTATTCGTGCAAGTCACGGAATGCTCCTTCTCCAAATGTTTTTTCATAGATGAAGTCCCGTTTGTCTTCGTTTCGCAATTAAAATCCTTTGTACAGTACTTACATTTGGTTTTTGAACGCTTCCCGTCAACAGTTGTTTCTGTGATGGTGAAGTGTTCCCATACCGCGGACCGTAATTTGCCAACACTGACATTCAGTGTATCAACATGGCCCCTTGATATTTCATCCACTCTTTCAGCTCCACGCATATCGTCAGGCTTGTCACTTGTAACTGTGCCGAAAAGAAACATGAACCAGAAATTAAGGTCAAACTATTAATTAGCACACATAGATTGGATATACACCAGTGGGATTATGCTTACTACCTCCTTCGACTTGCTGTTGGAGCCTGTAGTAGTCTAGCTCGTCGATCAAGTCGTCGGCGTCGTAGAGAAGCTCCTTGACACGAGCGAGAGCCCGGGACAGAGGCCTGTTCCCGGCTGCCCTCCCCTTCACAGCAGCCACCACCGTGTCGACTCTCTCGACCTCAGACTGGAGCCTCTCGACGTCGTCGGCAAGCCCGACTTGCCGAATCCACTCCTCCATCTTGTCCATGAGGAGCGTTGCAAGGATGGTCTGCACCAGCCATGCAATCGCGGCCTCCACGGAAGAGTCTCCCGCCGGCTCCATCGTCAGATCCGGCAGGAGCAGGTCTCGAGCTCGAGTCAACAACGAAGGAATGGGAATTAGGCGTGTGGAATGGGGAGCAGACGAGACGAGCGGGGAAGAACACCAGCCACAACACACAACGCACTTGCTGAAGAAATGAAAGGCTGGGAAAAAAACACTTCGCTTTCACTGGAAAACACTTAAAATGGTGCATGTATTGGGCCGGAGTAGAAGGTCAATTCCAAAGCAGCTTCTTTTCGACACTCAATGGGCCGAACTTTATGCTCGAAAATACGGCCCAGATAGGCCACATCAGGAAGCACTTCTCTTGCTCTGTTTTCCAACACGGCATGAGAAGCAGTACAATAACCGGGTAGAGATCCTCAAAAAAAAAATTAATCAAGCAGACGACATACATTCTAGTCGATCGAAAGTCACAGCACAACCCAAAGATTCATTAGTACAAACTCCTTCAATAATTTACGGCATAAATAAGGCAGATCTGATACACATACAGTATTTGATTACAACTGTCAAGTGAAAAAAAGAATGAAAGTATATGAAGTCTAAAACACTCGTGCTGGTACAACCTACTACTGATTCCCCCGTCCCCAAAGCACACTGACCAAAATGGCC